AACCGCGGCAGCACAGGATGTTCTGTCTTAGTGCACACGGAGGCCCCAGAAACACCAGCTCCAGAGAAGAATGGTGTCCTCGTGTTCTGTCTGTCCCTCGGGTTGCATGCTCATTGGGCTGAGGTCTGCAGATGTATTCTGAGTTGGCAGCCTTTAGGTTGCTGGTGCAGCCTAAATTGCTGAGTGACCTTTTGCTCGCTGCCTGAATTGACAAGTCTGTGAGAAGGGTTCTGTGCTCTCCCTGATGGACTGCAGGGATAGCTGACGTGGATGCAAAGCAGAAAGCACAACAGAGGCAGAGACAGCAAAGTGGGGAAAGGAGAAAAATATGGAAATGTGACTTGTTTAAACTTAACAATGTGTGGTTTCACGCTGTCTTGTCATTTTAGAGTTATGACAGATCAGACAGAGCATAAAACCAAAGTTTGAGCCGAGTAGGGCAAAAGGTTCTCTGTGTGCAGTCTGTCATATGTCTAATCCTATCTTAATGGCAAAGCTCAAACTCAGCCCACTGATTACATCTAACCACAGCTTGTCCCACAGAGATATTTCCTTCTTTCCCCTCCCTTCCCTTTTTCTCACTTCATCACTTCAACCCTGTGGTGGCGCGAGGGTGCTTCTGAGAAGTGTCAGAGCTGACTTGCTCTGGCACCGTGTGCCATCTGGCCTCTCCCTGCTGTGGTGATACAGATCAGTGCATGTGAACAGCCTCTCATGGATTTAGAAGGACTGCACATCAGCAGTGGGAAACAACGTAACACAGGACATGTACTGTAATCATTCCAGGTTCATTCTGGGTTTGTTTTCTCAGAAGCACTCAGAAGAATATGAGGAGGGCATTAGAGGGCTTTCTGCTCCCAATGCTGTTACTTTGGTGATTCACATACAGAAGTTTCCCACCTCTGCAAACCCACTTAATTAATACTTGAGTAGACCTGAGTGTCTGCTCTTTTCTCCTCTGCCCTTTTGCTTCTCTCTTTACATTCTCGTGATAGTGCAGCGCCTACAGATCTTCATTTGGGCTGGTTGCACTCTGCCCCCAAAGCTGTGGGGGATGTTGGTGTAAATATTAAAGTAAGCAGCTCATTTAAAGAAATAGTTTACCATTTTTGGGTATATTTTTATTTATTTTCTTGCCAAGGGTTAGATGAGAATATTGATATCATTCTCCTCTCTATGCTAAATATGACACCTCAGCCAGAAGCCTGTTAGCTTAGCATAAACACTGTAAGCAGGGCAAACAGCCCGGCTCTGTCAGCTCACTGACTAAACCAGTGTGAAAACAATGAGTTGTATTTTAATGGATGATTATGTTGTGGATTATTTTTTGGCCAGACGGATCAAGTTGCTGGAACCTTTTCGTCATTGTGAGGTCACCAAGGAGTCAAGAAGAAGCCCTATAACATGTTAACTAGTTATCTTAGGAGGCTTTTTGTTAGCTTCAAAGAGAGCTGACAAGAAAGTACCCTGATATTCTGAGGGTAATGAATAATACTTTCAGTTTTACCATGATACAAGTAATTTGCCATGGTATTGTCCATAGTACAAATAATCTATCATGGTACTTGATATGGTATAAATATTATGTTAATGTGTGGTATAAGTAAAAGGTCAGGAATCGGTAAAATAGGCTGCTGCCTGTAGCCTTATGTATATAACAGATGTTGGGGAATTGATATTGATCTTTTCTGTGTGAGAAAACAACTAAAACAAATCACTGCATGTGTAACCACATAGAAAAGTTTAGAGTAACCTTGCTCCTCCATTATTTCTCCATCAGTTGTTCCTCACCTCCTTTCTTCCAATTTACATTTGAAAATAACTTGACTGCATTCCACTCTGCTCCATCATTATTTATGCCCACTTGCTGCCTTTCCATTACAAGCTCAACAACACCTCTGCTCTGAGTCCTGTTTTGTTGTGAACACAGCCAACAGCCTTCACTCACCGCTGTGTTTCTTTGCGATCTCATTTTCCCTCTCCTTCTGCTGGAACAGTTTGATTTGAATGCAGAACTGCAGCTTTCTCCAACTTGCTCTAGCTGTAGGCCGTCTATTAGATCAAGGCTTTTTGCTTTTTCATCTTTAGACGAGGAGAAGAAGAGGAATCTCCCCATGGTTTTTTGACAGAATAGTGCTGGGAGCTGCCCGGCCTTTTGGCTTTACCCAGCATATCATCAAACAGACAGTGAGAGGGAGGAGAGGAACAAGGGAAACTGAGGAGCGATATACAGAGCTGAGATCAGGTTCCCAGCGGAGGCCAGCACTCCCACTCGCTCGACCCTGATGAGTCACAAAAAGGATATCTGCTGGCCGGCTTACCCTCGGCTGCACATTTCTATCCAACGGGCACCGATGTACAGTAGCACACCAAAGTTTTACCTACTGCTACATTTATGTGACTTTGCAGCTTGAAAAATAGTTCGTTTTTCATTTATACCACACCATAAACACTCATTCTGCGTAATGTTACAGCTAAAATACAAATGCAGAGTATGACATTATCTTGAATCCTGCTGCCTTACTTTGAAATAAATTCTCAAAGATTTATAAAATGGTATTATACCCTTGCTCTGATCTGTCACTCACCACAGTTTTATCACAGAGATTTACAGTGAGTTCCTTGGACTTTTTATGACTTGGTTTATGTCCTGTTGACATGTAGTGTGAATTGTAGGACCTTATATACTCAGGTGTGTACCTTTCTAAACTATCCAGTCAACTCAATATGCCACCTGTGGACACCAGTCAAGCTGTAAACTCGCCTGTTGAAGTTTAAAGAGCCACGCATCATAATTCATGCATTGTAGATTTTTCCATATTAATAAAGGTATATTTATTATATACTGATGTGATACCTCATTTTGAAAGCTCGAGGACTCCATATTTTGGTACAATTAGCAGACTCATTTTGAAGCACAAAAGTTCACAGCTCATGAATGTCAAAACCAAAGTAACAATAACAGGAACTAGTAGGCAACCTTTACAAATGATACAGCAGAAGATTGACAAATGAATTGACTGATGAAATTTAGTATTGCAAATATCAGTACATGCCCAGAAGTGAAGTGAAGTAAGACTATCAGCAATGTTCTATGATGTAAAATGACAGACCTATGGACGGGTCAGTGAAATTAGCCTGTAGCAAACCTGTACGGTTACACAGGCCCCACAATGGCTTTATTGACAACTACAGTCATCCAGTAATGTGTCTGTAGCATTAAACCATTCAGAGATGGAAGCCAATCAAATTGCCTTTTTAACCATGTGCATATTTATATAGGCCTGCATAGTAAACACCCACAACACATAATAAACTGTTGAGGGCTCATTTTGGTGAGAATACTGACAGTGACATAGATACTACAATAAAACTGTATAAAACAATAAGCAATAGTAACATATGCATGTTCAACATAACATTTAGGTACATTTTCAGTGATGTGCTTCTGGCCATATAAGGAGACATTCTGGGGCTGAGGTTTTATAATAATGCACCATGTCCACCTGCTGGTGATGCTCAGTACTGCGTTCTAGAGTCATAACTCAGAAACCTTTGTCAACCTAAAATTTGGCACACACATCACAGATATGTTAGACAGATGGTATGAATTTCACATGTCTATCCCTCACTCTTTATTATGAAATATTACACTTAATGTTAATATTAATCTAAATGTCTCCAAATTTGGCAGTTCACCCTAAAGAATCTCATTCTCCATAAAGAATTAAATGGTTTATGTTCAATTATCAACAATCAAATCAAGTGCTGTAAAAGAAAAGCACCTTCATTAATCCAGCTACCGTAGTTACAAAAAGGGCTGTTCACGTCTGATCCCTGTGCAACCTGGCAGAGCTTGAACAGTTTTACAAAAAATGGAGTAAAATTGCAGTGTTCAGATGTGCAAGCCTGACTGAGACCTGTCCACATAGACTCAGTGCTGTGATTGCAGCCAAAGGTCCATCTACTAAATACTGACTTGAAGGGGGTGAATATTTATGCAATCACTTATTTCTCATTAAATATTTTTATTTAATTGACATTATTTTGTAGAAACCTGTTTTCACTTTGACATTAAAGAAGTTTTTTGTATTTTTTTTTGTCAAAAGCCAATTTATATTGACCATGACTGATTTATATATATATGAAAAAAAAAATCAATAAAAGCATAAAACATCCAAGGGGGTGAATACTTTTTATAGGCATTGCAAGCGTGTTGCAGACAGCAACCCCCGCTCATCCTTCCTTGTCTTATTTAACCATCACATTACGAAACTGTGCTTTTAAGCAGTGTTTTCCTGAATGGCTTTACAATTTATACTTGGCAGAGTTCACTGAAATAATAAATCAAGTACTACCATGGGCAGTAACAAACATTTTACAGGCTGTAAACAGAAATCCGCCATTGTCTTAGTTGTAAAACATTTAGAGACAGACTGCAGAGGAAGTGGGCTCTAAATGTTGCTGCAGTGATGTTGTAACGAGGCTTTGCAGGAGTTCAACACATCTGTCATTTGTCAAAGCCACCACCCATAAAGGTCAAGGGAATTTTTCAGAGTAAGCGGCGCACAGATTTTTTTTTTTTAAGCCCCCGCAAGTGATTGAACTTGTGGGTGTCTGCTAAGTTGAATGATGGCCCTGGAAACTATATGGGTATAGCCCATTAACTCTAAATGTACAGTTTAAAAAAAAAAAAAAAAAGACTTTGAAGAACTACACTCATTCTGGGTAACACAGAGCTGAGCTGGAGGGCTGTGTCCATCTAGTGTCTGAACATGGTAACTGAAATAGCATTAATATGAAAGAAAATGAACCAGGTTACAGTATATATGACAAGAACAGTGTGGTTTACTGAGCTGAAAATACAAGTTGCTGCATGTATTTGTCACTCTGTTCTGCTGTACTCAGTATTACTGTATCTTCCATTGTTATCACACAGCTCTGCAGCAACATGATGATTCAGGAACAAAACAGCAAGGGGGGGGGGAGAAAAAAAATCACAGATTTTAACCACCTTTTTATTTGGCATAATTTAAAATCATCCGTTAGTTCATTTATACAAATATGTTTTTGTTATATATAAAACAATTAAACAGATTTCTACAAATCAAGTTCCCAGTGTAAAAGCGTAGTACCACGCACACGGCAGCATACAGCTCCAGGACACAGACAGAGAGCCCACAGGTGTATGCTCCACTTCCACAGCATTATCCGACTGAAATCAGGACATGGCAAAAACAAAAAAACAAAACAAAACAAAAAACACTCACCACAGTCAACTGTTTGACAAATTGTGCACTTACATTCAACCCTTCAAACACAGATCTTGAACTTTTTTCACACACCATTTATCAGATCTCAAACTGCACCACTACTGTTGCACACAACCTCCTGCCGTGTTGCCCTTTGGTTGTTCTAGACTTTACACAGGCCACAGTCTGTGCTGACTTAGGAAAAACACCTTTCGAGTGAGTATATGTAAATAACTGTAGTTAGTTATTACTGTCAGCTATAGGCACAAATGAGTAACCACTCACTGCTAAAAAAAATTACTTTATGAACCGTACAAAAATCCTCAGATGTGACAAGGCACGCTCCACCAACGCAGCTCTTGCTAACCGTATGTGCAGGTTGTGCTTATTCCTTGCCCTCGCTACACCATGCACTGCAGAGATGTAAACCACAAACTGTTAAGAACTGTGGTCACGACTGAACTGTTTTACAAATGCACAAAGACTTGGTGTGCAAGATGTCAGTTTAGCACCTGTGACGTCCAAAAAGGGCTGCAAGAAGTGTGTGTTTACTGGCAGCAACTAAGGCAGAAAAGTTACAACAGTGATGTGAAAACCAGACTTGGTTGAACCTGTATTTAAAGGGTCTCCTGGAGCTTGTAGCATCATAATGACTATCTTTAGGTTTGATAAAGGAGTAATACTATGGTCTTTGGTTTAGATAAGGCACCTAACCAAAATAAAAAGCTCCATCTATACTGTAGATAAACGGCTGTTACATGAAGACCGAGGCAGATATGACACTGTATCTTCAAAGACGGAAGAGTCTTCATCTATCCAATATACTATCAGAAAAGATGTATCTAACCTAGCACAAGCCACTGAAAACATATTCTGGCGTTATATGCTGTACTGAATCAAACATGGAGTGTCAGCCTGCTGGCTTTAAATGTAAGGCAACAATGCAATTGAAATGGGAACCATTATGGAGGTATGAGTATATCAAATGTGAGTGTGACCTATGTCACAGAAACATCTGCTTGATCAAATACACATAAGCTATTACAAAAAATATATTCTACTTTGGCCATTACCACACTCAAAGGTTAAAAACATTTGAGGAAAAAAACATTTACAGAGTAAATTCAACATAATTAGACAAAATAGTATTTTTGACCCCCACCCTGTCAAAAACTAATTCTTAGGCATATTTTTAATGGCACTCAGTGTGAGCCTCAAGAGTTAAGACACAGCCAGAAGAAAGATGTACTACAACCTGACAATATCAGCTGATGAAATCCAGGACCAGTATGGGTTAATTTGGCAGAGGCCTTATGACACCTGCTCCACTATTACTGCAGAGGGCAAATGGTCGGCTGCTTTTAATGGGCCCAGCTTATCTTTAAAGGCCTACTGGCTCTTCCATGCGTTGCAGTGAAACAGCAGAGCGAGACGCTGGAAAGGTAGCCTGCCTGGCAGCGCTAACTTGCCAGATGGAGAGCAAGGGTGACTGCAGTTCAAGAGTTTAATCAGTGCATACTGGTTAAGTGGTACTGGCATTTGTCTGGGACTCATCACACCTTGACTGAACTCAAGCTGCTTGAAATTAAAACTTGTTCACCCTCTACTTGGCTGTTTATTACATCTTAATAGGCAAGTCGCAAGAATGGTGAGGTGACGCTGCTTGAGACTCATGAGAAGCAACCTAGGTGAGAGTATGAGGTAGTCATTATTTCTCTACCTGAACAAAGGCAGATCTCTTCTCTCCAGTCAAACAGGGTAACTTGGGTGTTTGGTTTAGAAATTACTATGGCTTGTGACAACAGTATTTTATAAGGTGAAGCTGAGAAACTGAGAAGCTATAAATCTAGAACAGATGTAAAATTGAATAAAGTGTAAATATCAAAAGTTAAAATGTAAGAAAAATTGAGTAATAACAGTCTGTTGTCCCCATTTTGGTATAGTCACTTTGGTGATGATGGCAATGGAGAGAAGTCCTCCAGGCAATGAATAAGGAAGAGAGGAGTAACAGAGGAGCTGGAAACTAAGTCTGAACTGCTGGAGGTGGTATGGAGACAGCCAGATGATGATCTTCAGTCCTCAGCCTTCCTGTGCATCTGTGGATCTCCATCATCTCTCTCCACAGTCCAAATCTGGGAGCCTTTATTACAACAGCACACACTTCTTGGGGCTCTTTTTCGTGACTGGATACAACACTGCCCTTACAGCGTCAGCAAACACCTCCCTGACTCCATCCTGCAGAAGAGCAGAACACTCCATGTATTTAACAGCCCCAATCTGCTTGGCCAGGGCATTGCCCTGCTGATAGGTAGTAGGAGCCAGGCCTTGTTCCTTCAGCTTCTTCACCGTTTCTGCATCGCCCCTCAGGTCCTTCTTGGTGCCCACGAGCAGGATGGGCACATTGGGGCAGTGGTGAGACACCTCGGGGTGCCATTTGTGCCTGACATTGGCATGAGAGGAAGGGCTGCCAATGGAAAAGCAGATGATGAAAACGTTGGTCTGGGGATAGGAGAGAGTGCGCAGGCGGTCATACTCCTCCTGGCCTGCTGTGTCCCACAAGTTGAGGCTGACAGTGCGAGTGTCCACACTCATCTGAGCACTATAGTTGTCAAAGACCGTCGGAATATACTCTTCAGGGAAAGCATTGGTGGTATAAGAGATGAGTAGACATGTTTTACCCACTGCCCCGTCACCCACCACCACACACTTTATGGTCTGCATCCTGCCTACGACCACTGGGGCTGCAGCACCTGACAACAGAAAAAGGGCGTCTGGGTAACTTCTAATTAACGTTACAGTACTCTAAGCTCCGGAGAACTGAAAAAAAAAGCTTTATCCAAGCTCTTCATTGTCTGTAACAAGGGGCATGATAATTAAACATTACACTTTAAAAGACACAAGCATACGTGCCGGTTGATAACTCTATGACAACAGTTTGTGCCAAAATACAACGCTTCCCCCAGTTAGCAGACGAGCTAACCACAGCAACCGTTAGCTCATCGACGTAATCAAAGGCACACTGGTTAACGGTAGCTACGATTTCAGTCATCCCCTGATTAACAACGTCTGGAAAGTTTTTAAAAAGTAATCCCTTAACATAGCATAGAAAGTGAAACTGAAGCGAGACGTTCGCTTTTGTCATTTATTATTTCGCACTGTTCACTTATGACACTAGGCGTTCCCTTGACTAGCATCAAGCTAAGGAACTAGCGCATTTGGTGGCTAACAAGCTAGCTAGTTAGCAAACAAGCTGAAAGTTTATTTGCAAACAGCTTCTTAAAAAAGCCTGTTCCAGACTCAATAACACGCTAGGAGATACTCTACAATTTCTATTCTGGTCTAATGTACGTCTCAAAGTTAGTAACATGCTGCAACCACCAACTTTAAAGTATGTTCTGACTTACCGCCACTTGTCTTTCGATCTCGTTTTGCCTGGTATAGTCAATCACAGCCGCATCCGGGGAGCTGTCCATTACGTAAAAATACACGTACGGAAATAATACAAACTGGTAGTTGTAGTCTAATTTTGTGAGGTCGTTCGTGTGACACTAGATGGCGAGCTGTTCTGCTCTCCTGTGATATCCTTGACTTTCACGTAAACTGTGTCACCAACCGTTTGAACCTACAGAAGGAGAAGCAGCACTGTAGCAAGACTCTCAGCGTTTATATCTGGTTGGAACTGCAAGAAAACAGTGTCAGAATAACATGACAGGTTTTACCACAGGTGGTGAATAGACTACTTAAATGTAAAATTACTAAATTACATGTAGGCTTAAGTGTTAGAAGTAAAATGTAATTAGAAAAGTAGGCTGTGCAGAATAACCCCTGTCAAAGTGTTATTTTGAGCATACTGGTGCATTAAATTAACATGAACACAGCTTATTAATGTTGTAGCTGGTCAAAAAGGAACTTTGGTTAACTACTTTATAAACTTCTGAGAAGCCGCAACACTGTCTCATATTTGGTGATTAAAATTTTGTATGTAAATGTACAAATGTTGTCAAATAAATGTGAGCTAGAAACAACAGATTATATTAAAAAATTAATACTGTAGAAATTTTATAAATTAGCAGGAAATTGAAAACAACTTAAGTATATATATATATATATATAGCAAAACTGTAGTTTAGAGTGCTTGAGGAAAGGTATTTGGATGCATTCTACCACCACCCAGTAACCCACAAACCTACCTCTAAACAAGGTCATTTTAAATTGTCCGATTTATGAATGGAGTTTGTAATGACAACTTTTTCCATGAATGTGACCCCTTTGCCACAGTTGGCTTAACTGTTTCTCTTGAACTTATATTCTCACCATTAAATGTCACTGTCACTGTGTATGCGTTCAAACCCGTCTTTTGCACTTCATTCCCTTTGGCTAGCACATATATCTCGTTTACCTTCAGACATGTCATTATTCTCAGTAAACCAGCAATTCATCTCCATGCAGAATACACAAAGGCACCCAAAAAAGAAATCACTTTAGACTTCGCGGTCCTGCACCCCTGGAGACCCGTTGATGATGTCACCTCTATACACTGAGGCGGGTTAAGAGGCCATTGCTGACCGACAACTGGACACTCAAGAACACAAAGGGGCACCCGTTTATTGCCTTTCCCAAGAGGCTCTGGCGTCACTGCAGCCTATAAAGAGAAAACTCCCACTGAGACCCTGCACCCACGGTCACCCTCCACCCCAACCCTTGTACTCCACTATTCTGCCAGGAGATTCCCCGGGATGTCTGTAGCATCTCCATGACAACAGCCACTGACAGGATTGGGGGTGACCATGTCAAGAGATACAGCGAGAGGGAGCTCAGATGAAGAGGGTGAGAAGAAAAAAAATGGATGACAAGAGGACAGCAAGATGCAAGAGTAGTACTTGATGAAGATTAAGAGCAGGGACCTTAAATTGAAAGCTCTGAAAGCCAGTTCAAAAACTAAAAACAGACAGTGAAATTGGTGTACACATTCTTATTAACAGAAAACACTTCTATTAAGATCACCATTTTTATTCATTTTCTCTTATTTACAAATGGACACAATAGACTGAATAACAACCAAAGCTATTCAGTAAAATTATAGAATATTGATAAACAGAAATTACAGTATCATCTCCTCTTCTTCAGTTTGTAAAGTGCATCACAATGATGAGGCCTTTCAGCTAAAGGATGAACCATTCCATAGTGTATCGAGTTAAGTTCAGGACAACCAGATGTGAGAGCCCAGTGATCACAGTATTCAAAACTTTTGGACAGTTTCCAAAAATAATATCTTTATTTTTTTTTCTTTTTATTATCCCAGAGTGACTGAAACAGTTTCCCAAATGACAGTCCTAACAAAGCACACTGTAGGTGCACACTGTTCGCTTGTTCATATTACTGACATGAAAAATATTCTAAACAGTTCTACATTTGAACATGTGTGTTTTTGTGATGTCCTATTGCCTGCAAAAGACACAAATGAATGTAAAAAGAGGTAGGATTTAAGGAATCTATTCTACTGTTCTGGCAGTGGGTAAAACACATAATAGTGTCCCAGACGCTCTGTCTCACACCTAAGTAGAACCTAAGCCCTCAGATCTACATACAAATGTCATTAAACTTAGATGTTGTGGAGCAAGAGTTAATTCAGATCAGAAACTGAATGATAATTCGCTTTGAACACCCACACTGAATATATTAGACTGAAATCCATAAAGGAAAGACAAGCTTGAAGAAACTACACAGTGGAGGTTCTCATTCACTTCCATTACTTCCACAGTGGTTGAGCCGCAGCAGCTCGAAGCATTTTGGGACCAGGTATCCGTGACACTATAGGGATTTTAGAACTAGCAGGAGAGGGGCTTGTGCTTGTGGTCCTCGCCGTTTTATTCCGGGCAGCAGTTATGACAGCTGTGCGTATAGTCTTGGCTGTGGCGGAGGATGGGCTGTGGGCAGTGCGAGGCTGGGGAGTCTCTGAGTTTGGGGCGAGTCGTTTTGACACACGGAGAGGAGATCCTCTAATAAAGTTGGGCTGGGTGCTGCCTGAGATCCTATCTGATGATACACATCTCTCTGAGGTCCTGCGGGGCAGTGTGGGCTTCCCTGAAGTCTGTGTCTCACTTACAGTCCTCTGCCGTGTGCCATTACTTAATTTCACCTCTGCCTGAACAGCAGCTGGCCGAGTGACAGGAGACGAGCGCATGGATATGCTGCGAGAAGGAGACAGCTGGCTACGTATGGGTGAGTTTTTAGGGCTTGGGGGGCGATGTGAAGGCTCAGTGTTGGAGTGGACCCTGGGAATGCCTGTGTTGTTGGAAGGTCCTGTACGTGGCACAAGTCCCCTCTTGGCCCCTATGCCGCTACACACAGGGATCTTCATGGTTCGAGTCTCCTTCTTTGATGTCGGAGACACTGGAGATATTCTCTCTTGAGGGTCAACCTCTCTCTCTTTTCTCCACTTGGAGCACAGGCTTGGTGTGGGTCGTGGGAGTGGGGAGGTTGGCGGTGACAAGGTGTCATAGGATCGAAGGCCTTTCACCAGAGTGTGACACTCCAGTGTTTCACCGACACGGGAGTATGACCTTGCAATGTCCCTCTCAGAACCTGACAAGCCAGAGCACTCCTCCGGCTGTGACTGACTGAACTGTGGCAGACTGGAGGGCATCCAGTTGTCCTCCACAGGTGTGGACGCCACTCCTGTGTCTGTCTGCTGAGTTAAACCTACATCAGGAGAAGGCATCACAGCCCTTGTCGGTGCACACATCTCTCTCATCTGTGATTGCAACTGGGCTCGATTTGGAGCATTTACACATGCTTGAGACTGGCTCTCAGATCTGTGGTACCTCAATAGCCCAGCCTTAGCATCACTATGAGAAAGTATTCCACTTGTTTGAAGAGACTGAGGTATGGGCTTGTTGACAGAAGAGTCATCAAATTTACTCTGAACTGGGCAATTTTTGTCTGTTACCGGTAGACCAAAACTATGGCTGTGAATGGAGGTCTGGCTTTTATCACATAGGGCAGGTATATTAGTATTTAAAAAAGGTGATTTGATAGAGAAACTAGGTGAAGATTCAGTGTTCATTGAAGCCATATGTTTATGTGAAATGCCTGCCTCTTTTTCAAGTCCTGTTTCCTTCTGTTGTCCTTGCAGTGCATAGGAAATGTTCTTAGGTCCTTGTTGCTTGACTATAAAGCCACGTCCATGCTGAGAATGATTAAATGTAGCAATGTCTGAGTCCTGAACTGCTTCCATGCTCCGATTTGATGTGTGGCTGAGCTGAGGCTTGCCCCCACTACCCAGAACAGGTTTTTGGTCAATAGGAGAGCATGTGCCATCAGTCTCTGGGGAGCTACAAAGTACAGTGTTGTTCTCATGGTCAGAAGAGCTGCTGGAGTGATAACAGGTTGATGTTGGGCTGCTGCCCAGCTTGGGAAAGCTCTTGAGCATTGAAGAGTTACGGAAATGAGTCTCACCGTGGAGGTGCTGGGAGTGTCTGCGGGAGACTGAGCTTCTCAGGCTACGACGACTCCAAGTGTAGCTCAAGTTCCTCTCCAGGAGTTTCTCCAACTCATCTTGGTTCTCCTGACTGTGAGGCTCTCTGGCAAGGCTCAGCCCCAGGTCCAGTCCTGTACAAATGGCCAGAGAGCGACGCTTTTCTGCCATCTCACGCTGACGTTCCAGACGTCTCTGTTCCTTCAGTTCACGCTCTGCATTCTCCTGAAGAAAAAAAAAAGTGAACTATTTGTCATTGGTTAGAGACTTTTAGTACAGAGTTCAATTTATGTACATATAATGTTTTTTTTTATAAAAGTTAATCAAAAGACACAAAGGTCTAACCTGGACAGCTCTTTGAAAGCGGTCACAAAACAAATGGATAACGCTGCAAGCCTCCTCAAGTTTGAAAGTGCTGTCATCCTCACAGAAAAACTCCACCAGAGCCTGACTCGACATCCTCATGCCCTCTACCTCATCCTCTGCCTTTTTCAGATGCTCCTTAGCCGCCTGCACACAGATGGACAAACATATTCTTCCATGTTATCTTTTTTACAGTTGTATTCATGGATCTATTTATTACCCTCCACAAAAATATGTTAAACTCTGAATGAGACCTTGGCTGGTGTGTCAATCTTTTGCATTAAAAATAGCAGCCTGTCTTTTATACCTCTAGAAAAGGTTGTGTGCGCTTCTGAAGCTCTGCCTCAGTCTGGATGTTTGCCCTGAGGGCAACCAATCTGCTTTTTAACTTGGATAAGTCCTCCAGCACAGACTCTTCACACAACCTTCAGAGAAGAAGATAGAATACAAATTACATAATTAATACAAATTATATTTAGAAATAATATTAAGAACTGTATAGAAATAGTTGTGTGATATGTCTTAGGAAAGCCCTCACAACCAACAAGTGTACAAGAACTTTTTTTTACTTTGGCTTGAGTAATGTTCAATTATATAAACTGGGCAAAACAGCATGTAGTAGCATGCGAAATATTCTTGACTTTTTAAAGAAGAATAAGGATGGGCATTCCTTAACACCTTGTAAATAACTACAGGATAGAAGAAAGTAACAGAAGCAGTGCCAAAGTCTCCACCAGAGCTTAAACACTAGCTGGGTTACTGATGCTGTCATGACCCACTTTCATTCGGGCATCTAGCAGTTGATAACAGCCGGACGCCTTTTTCTGATACAAGAACGCAATGCATTTACATTACACTTTAGTAGTCTGTTAGGGTGTATTGAAGTTTTTAAGTAGGATTTGTTTAGCCTATCCCCTCTGACTCAGTCACTGTAGGATCGGGTGGGATCTGAGATTTAGGAAGAGACTGACCTGGAGGCGGAGCCAACATGGCCTAGTTGGCTGGGAAATGACAGTAAACTCTGGTCCTTTTTCACAGCTTCCTGTGGAAACAAACAAAATGGTTATCCAACTGTTGTTTCAAAAGCAGCAACACATCATTTGCTAATGTTGACAAAATTATATGCTATGTGCAGCAAAGCTGTCTTGAGTGGCTATGGTTTCTCTGAACACTTTGTGGTCAGAAATGGTTGGTTCTTGCAAAAAACAAAACAAAAAACCCCACATTCCACAAAATATTTCCAGTCAGCAGTACTAACACATTATATTTTAGAAGTCCAGCTCTTTACAAACACTTTTACACACAATGCAAAAGCTCTAGATAGCATATAGGTAGCATGTAAATAGTACAGATTTCCTTACTTCTAAACAAGGAGGGTACAGTTCATCTCCAGCATGGTTAAAAACCAAGTTTATTTCTGTTTTGTTTAAAATATGTATTTATGTCAGCAGCAGTTGGATATTGCAGGATCTTCTCTGAGTGCATCCTAATTTCAGTTCTTACCATAGCTACAAAATGCAGCAGATTCATGCCTGGCTTGTTGGCTTTGGTGTCAGCCAGCTTCAGCAACGATGAAATTCGAAAACCAGCAGCATTCCCTGCATATCCACCCTGAGAAGCCATGTACAAGGTCAGAATAACACACACAGACACACACGTGACAGCTTTAAACAAACAATGATACAAAACCCAGGTGCAGTCAGAGTGACGCCCCTGAATACACACCCAGACCCCTAGTGGCTGGTGTATTGTACAAAGATAAATAGGACTGGTTCTGCTTTGTCAGGCTGAATAAAATGAAATTAAATAAAGAAGCACTCACAGCATTCATATAATTCCCAGCTTTTAGCACCAAACGAAGAATGGAGTGTAATTCAGGACAGCTCAGCAGTTCTGGGAGAGTAAAAGACAGATTTAATGTTGTGCCTCAAGGTTGATGCATAATGAATATGAATGTGCATGCAGCTGCATCAAGGCCTTCAAACGAGTCAGCAATTTTGTTGTGAAGAACGGACACTCAGGCTGACTGTTCAAATACATTCTTATACGAAAACATGATAGCAGGTTTCATTTAAGAGAGTAAGTTATTCTGAATTCTAATCATGTTGTCTGCATTCTGCATCCAAACATCAGCACAGTAGACAAATTCCACATAGGAGTGTTTAAAAGGGCCAAACAGACCTAGTTCTTTATATTGGTGGAGTACACAACTTCCTGCTGTTACTTTACCTCTGGCCGCCTCCCTCAGACATCTGGCTGCCACACACAAAGAGGTCACAGCAGGGTCAAACTCTTGTTGCATGATCATGGCATCCAGACGGAGTCGAAAACTAAATGGAAGGGGAAAGAGATGGATGGATGGATGAAAGGACAGGGGTGAGTGATGACTGAAACAAAAAGGCACTCCTGATCAGTCATCGGTTAAAGAAACACAAGTCATCACAAAGTGAAGCACATGAGTCAGACGAGAGGCCCGTGAAAATAAACAGGGAAAAAGTCTAGAGTCAGATGGAAAATGGTGAGAATTGTTTTGGTGAGTCAATCCAATCTAGGGTTAAGATGGGTTGTACCTGGGGACTTCCACCAACAGCAGCATGAAAAGATCAGGCTCTCCAAGCCAGCTCCGATCACCACTGAACCTACTCAGGCGGGACTCCTGAAAGAAAACAGTTGCAAAGTCAAATCTGGGAGCAGTTTTGATAGAAAAAAAAATCTGGAACACTACTACCAACATGCTGTTAACAGACAATTCTTCTTGGGAAACAGACCACATCATACAACATGGTGTAACTTTTGATCATGCTAACCAGAGCCAGATAATGAGTAAGAGAATAGGGAGGGGGGAAGGGAGGGGAAGGGAAGGGGGTGTCACTGCAGCATTTGTATACCAAAGAAGGAACTTTACCTCTTCACTGTCAGGCAGAAGCTTGCAGAGCTCTGTGAGCTTCTCTGCTCCGTAACGGTCCCCGGCACCCTGCCTGATATCCTCAACTATTTCTTTTGCAGGCCTGCAGAAAACACACTTTCATGTCACATCATTGCTAATGTGCAAAGGGGTTTTCATCCTTCAAAAATGCATGAAACCTTCTAAGGAAACTCATGTTATGAGCGCTATCAGCCCTTTGTTTTGTGTCACACAGTATTGACGCTTATCCTTATCAAAATGTCAGGGAGGGAGGGTTGATTGACACCACACTGGCGACGCCATGTGGCGTATCTGCTGGGCAAATAAAAGGCAGACATGCAGAGGAGATGTCTGAAGGGCCTTGAGACCTCAAGGTGAAAGACCAGAAACTGAGATGACCGACTGACTTATTTCCTCCGAGTCGCACTTCTGTCCTCTATTCCAACAGTTTTCCATTACCTTCTCTCCACCCCGGCCCAATCTTACAGTCCATCACACATACACATTCATAGCTTGGCATTCACATCCATATCCAACTCTTTGACAAAAGTATTTCAGGGTCCATATTTTGTTTAAACTATACCCACATTAGAAAAGCAGCCCAGCTCTGTCTCAGTTCAGTACAGAAGGCAAATAAGCTCACAACACAAAAGTCTGTGTAGAGAAGAGGCTCTTTTCACATTATGTCTTTCGCTGCAAGCCTTGACAAATCCAGTTTAGAAAAAGAACCACTCTTCAGTTGAGAGGCATACAATTGAGTCTCAGATCATTTCATTCACACCTGGAGGCCTTTTCTTTCCCTGTATTTATGTCATACCTTCTACCAGCATGATTTCTAACATCAGCTACAGTGTTTCAGACAGAATGGAAATATGCGTTAACGAATATAAAACAGTCTTCAACATTACAAGAACTGCAGCTTTGATCCAGGCAAAAGGCAAAAAAAGAGGCTTTAAGGAATAGATGAATATGACAGGCCACCAGTGGAGTCTGTCTCTGTAGGAGGTGGCTTTAACATTAGACACTCTTTAAGGACATCAGCAGGTGTCAACTCTGACTCTTATGGCTACCTCTTACACCCCCTAGTCCAGCTGCTCAGGGTGAAACCTCCCCTGCACCTGTTTCTGGCAATATACTAGTGCCCCCTCACTGACACCAGACATCCTCTGCCCTGATGATCTTCACACTTCTGACACAAATTGTACAGACCCAGACACCCAACCATCTCTGATATATGGCTACACTCTACAAGACAAGTGAAGTGTTGTTCCCCTGGGCACCGTTGTATGTGGTTCTGTTTACTGCTCTTAAGACTACTTTCACACGTGACTGATGTTGACCTCAATAAAGAGCTGACAGAAAGGCTGAAATGCTGAAACTGCTCAAATGAAACAGACTGTTAGGAATAGGGCCCCAACTTATGATTATTTTCATTGGTGATTAGTCTACTGATTACTTTATCCATTAATTGAGCCCACTGTGACATCTTCAAATGTCTAACCAACAGTCCAATTTATTGATTGACTAATCTTTCAGCTCTAATAAGGAATGAAGAGGCTTACATCTTGAACTGGCGTAGAAATATTCCAATGTTCATACTGCGTTTGGAGTCCAGTAGGGAGATCTGTTAAGAGGCAAAGGACATTAATAAGGGGATAGAAAGGACAAGAAATCTTACTCTTTTTATAGAATACTGGAAAATATCACTGCCATCCCTGTGGTCTGACCTCTTCAGAGTTGTCCTGGGGGGATCTGCAGCGCAGTCGAGCAGACCGGTGTCTCAGGGTGCTAGTTTTGTCCCGAGGCTTACTGTCCTTCTGACCAAACAGCTCATCCAGAGAATGAAGATCAAGGGGGAACTCATCCTCGTCTGGGGCTGCCCCGCTCCACACACTCTTCCTCCCCTCCACCTTCTCTTTGGGGATACGTTCCCAGTTCACTTTCCTCAGTCGGCTCTGACGGGTGTTGTCCGACCGGCTAAAAAGCGAGGAGGAGGATGCAGGTGGGGGAGGAGGAGGAGGTGGAGGTGGAGGAGGTGCTAAGGGAGGCGGTGGAGGGGCAACTAGCAACGGACGTGAATCCATGGCTGTCGCATCCACAGATTCAAAGATGGCGGTGGCCTGGGCAGGCTGTGTTCCACGAAAGGCACATGTTTCCTTGCCGGTCACAGTCAGGTTGATGAGCATAAAGGCCGGCTGGTTGTTTGAGGGAAACGGCGATGGTGGGTGAACAGTCAGTGTTCACTGATGTCTTCAGTTTCCAGCTGGCTTGAATTCAGAGGTCCATCAGTAAATCTCTTGTAAAAAAAACAAAACAAGAGAATCTTATCTCAGACATTTTTCAGAACAGGAAGAGACAGGAAACCACTGTTATTCTTGTGCAACAATTAGCAACTCAGGCAGCTTGAACTGAGGCCAAAGGCTTCATCTGAACATGTCTGACACTCAGACTGACTTCTCCCTTTATTGCAGTGGCTCTAGTATAGTGACTGATCTAACAAGTAGGTGGAACTAAAAACGAAACCCCTGGCTCAACTTTCAGTGGAAGTTCAAGGTGTTATGGGGAAAGTATTAGTTGGGCATGATGAGCTCCCCACCTCTATAGTCTGTTTGAACAGCTTGTCCCATCCTGTTCTGTTTCATCTCACTGCACACACAAGCACACACCTCCCTCTCTCTCTCTTTTAATTAGAAAGTATAGAAACAACACAGACCAGGTTAGATGCACAGTCAATCACAAAGCCCCACAGCTGAGGCTCTGGTTTCAGAAATCCTGACTTTATAATGGTGTTCTTTGCTCGCTGTGGGAGGTTAACGATTGATACCTAGTTGCACACACTGCACCGGCAAGTTTTCAGCA